TGCTAATCAAGTGAAGAGTTTTAACTATTTATAGCTCATCAGAGGTTAGATGTATCTGACGTTTTAAAATATTAATATTAATTTTAAAATATTTGTTAATGATTTTATATGTATTTATATTATCACAATGTTAAGATATTGGTTTGCTTTGATTTAAAAATAATTACAACTGATGTTATTGAATTTGAGATTTATTCTATGTGCCGTGTTCCTTCAGGACATAAGAAATTGTGGCAATTTGTCTTTTGTTGCTAAGAGTATTGTCTGACTTTTTTTTGCTATCCTTCCTCGTCTCTGTTCTGCATTCCATTTATACAAATTCCTCATTTCGTGGCTACTTTCCAATAAGTAGTTGGCATGTTGGGCTTATAAGCAACTCTTACGACCTTTTTACAATTGATCATTAGTCCTTTCTTCTCTCTTTCTTTAACTACTTTCTCTAAGAATAGATGAATAGATAAAAAAATAGATGAATCATAATTTTTCACATTTCTTAAAATCTAGTTTTATAAAACAGGGTAGGGTTTTGTTAATATGTCTGCATTTGTTTAGGAATCCATTCTCTTTATTTAAAGATTTATAAATAGTGCTTAACGGCGATACACGTTTTTGTTATTGCTTTTATAGATAGGTAGAAACAGAGCGAGTGAGAGTGAGAGAAGGGACAGGAGTGACGGACGCGGCAAAATTGCTTACTGGGTCGGATAACTACGCCCTCCAAGCATAGCCATTTTGCTCAACTTGATTGGCAACCGCAAGTTTTATTTTCAGTCATTATTTTCACTTTGAAATGTAAATCCGTTGTTGGGAGGAAAGCGTTTAAGCATCTGATGCATGCAAATCTTTTTACATCTCCCCAATAAAAGCAACGAAATCCTTACAGTGTCATGAAAGAAACACACGGGTTCCATATTATTATTATTATTATTATTATTATTATTATTATTGGCGTTGTTGTTGCTGGTGTTGTTGTTTTGCCTTTGTTTTGTGTAGTTAGTGTTGCCCCCAAGTTTCAATCAGTTACTTCAAAAGACAATTTTTTTTGCATTATTATTATTATTATTATTATTATTATTATTATTACTTCCTTGGGTTTATGATGTATACACATTTCCTTCCGGCTACCAACCAGACATCTAAGGTTAGAAATGACGTCATGACATTTTCCACTGATCATTTTTGTAAAAAAAAAAAAAAAAAGAAAAAAATGAAAAATCTTTCATTGAATACAGCCAATAAGGAAAATTGAATTAATTTTTATTCGGTTTTTCCAGCATCCTAACAAGTTTCCCTTTTGTAGGAGTTAAAGAATATAAAAATTGTCCATAATTTTTTATAGTCCCAAGCACTGTCAGCCACTTCTATAGCTATTTTCAAAGATATATTGTTTTTGGTGTCGTTATTTTTTTCTCATGTTTTGACTGTTACGTTGTAAATTATGTTTGTACTGTTTTTTGAAAAATGAGCGTTCATTTCAAGCTCTCACATGTCGTGCGCAACTTGAATTCATGTGAACATCTTTCTATTTTTTATTTTTCAAAAAATTTCAACACTTCATTTCCATTATTACGTAATGTAAGGTTGAGCGTAGCAGAAAAGTTTTAGATATATCTCGAATAGCAAGATATTTCTGATAATGTCATTTATATAAAATTCTAGTGTTTTCAACCAGAATTTTTTCTTAAGGGTTCTTGAAGATTATGAATCAAAAAATGTTTTTTTATGGCACTAGGGGCAGATTATAATAAAATAAAATATAAATAAAATAAAATAAATAAGAATAAAATTTAACAAAATAGAAATAAAAAATAAATTAAAATAAATAATGCAATCAATATAAATAATATAACACATCAGTTATTTCCAATAAAAAAAAAATATTAAGGGATAAAAATGCAGGTCACCATGCAGTGTTAATTTCTATATCCACACTGTTCATATCTACAACCGCTCTATCCCCGATAAAAATACTACACACACACACACACACATATATATATATATATATATATATATATATATAAGGCTCAAACACTAATATTCTATGGCTATAATTTATTACATTGGAATCGTAATCACGATCCAATTCATCAGACCTACAAATTCAAAAAGAAATCGGTAGATATTTTCCGATTTAAATTTGTAGATCTGATAAATTGGATTGTGATTACGATTCCAATGTAATAAATTATAACCATAGAATATTAGTGTTTGAACCTTTTATATTATATTCTTGCTCTGTCATGGACATTGAGTTCTACCTGGATTCTATCCTCTTCGAATTTATTGCGTGTATATATATATATATATATATATATATATATATATATATATATATATATATATATATATATATGACCACTAATAATATATATATATATATATATATATATATATATATATATATATATATATAATCATTTTGAAATAATATATGTCATTTGTATAAGATATAAGGCATAAAGAATTTTAGAAAAAAACTTAAATCTCGTAAATAATAAGTAAAATAAATAAAAATCACTTTCAAATAATTTGTTTTACTCTGTTGACGTCTATGGAAGGAGTTGTAGTGATTAAAAGAAGAGAAATAAAGCAATAAATATTAGTATTTTAGTAAAAGAAACGCCTCCAAACTGAAGAAGATAAACCACATGAATTTATCAGCAGGAAACGAGCAACGCAATGAGAAATGAAAATATCTTAAAATCATAGAAAAGTAAAACATAAAATAAAATGGCTGCCGCCTGCGAACAGCGACCGGAAATGCGTTTAGAGTAGTTTCGGGGAAATTATCAGGAAATCTGAAGAGTAAATAATTTTCCGCTTATTTACGTTTCGAAAAAAATTAAATTGAACAAGTACGATTGCAAAGAAAATATAAAAATAATAAAACATGGATTTTAAAATGAAAATGTAAAATGTAAATCGTTTGATAAATTTTCTCCTAATATTAAAAAGAAACAGTATAATTCAAAATTGTATAGATATGTAGAACCGATAGACATTTACCAACCTCTCCGTCTTGCAATGGTCAGCAAACTTGTCTCGCTACATCACTACGATATATATCCAAATAAGAGAAAGAAGAGTTAGAGTCAAAATCCGCAGTTCGTAGTATTTATTTTTGAAAAAAATGTGCTCAATACAAAGTAGAGCAAAATATTATTATAATATTTTTTATCATACGAGATTATAATAAAAACATTTTACATCGCTACACAAAAGCTTTCATGTTACAATACTAAGACTGTACTTCCTCAGGCGAAGGTAGACAACTTATTCATCGCCTGAGGAAGTACAATCACAGTAGTGAAACATGAAAGCTTTTGTGTAGCGATGTAAATTCTTTTTATTATAATCTCGTAAATATTTAAATAAATGTCGTTAATACTGTCTATTATAAACACAGCATTTACTTAAATATTTGTATCTATCAAAAAACGTATAAACATAAAAATATCTTTATCGAACTGAACCCTTTATTTCGCACGCTGTTCTAGTTTCACGTGCCATGTCTAATGGATGTCAATTGTCAGTTATCTCCTGTTAATTCCCCTCTCCAAATTCTCCATATCCTTGACCAGGTATTGAACTCACAACTACAAGCTGCAGAAAGAAATATAAAAGGGAGACAGGCCGCCCCCTTAAAGTAAGGCTTCCAGAACAACAATATATATATATATATATATATATATATATATATATATATATATATATATATATATATAGTTTTAAAAACAAGGAATGCATTGATTTTAATTTTAAAAGTCTCTAGGGCCCTTTCAGCCAACATCTCATCAGGAGACAATCGTTGGATTAGCAAAAAGAATATTAACGATAATGAAGAGCAAAAGAGGGGGAAACACACTAAAATAACAAACAAGTATATATACTTGTAACGAGGGGGGGGAAATAATCGTGTAAATAAATTAGCGAGGGACAGTTAAAATAAAATATCCCCAACAGATTAAGAGACTTTACAAATTCTTTCTGCCGGCAGAGAGAAGGTTTCTTAATCCTATACAGACCGATTCCAAAATCTTCAAAATGATTGTTGGAATCGGCTGTATGAATAATTTTAAACCACTCTTTTTTAAACAACTTGGCGCAGGCTATATTCTCAACTAAATGTTGAGCAATAGCCGATTCCATATTCATGGGGGGAAGATAGCATATTCTATCTATCTTACCAAGTCGTATATATATATTTCAATCATTTCTTTTGCGAAAAAGTATTTGCACCTTTGGTAAATATTATTGATACGTGTACATTCGAATAATTATCTTTCACTTCGTGCTTTGAAAAGACAAATATTCAACACATTTATGAGGGAAATAATAGGGTAGACTTGAAACTTTAGCTTTGAAAAGGCATTATCTGTATGAACAGTTCTGAATTCAAAGTTGTACAGAAGGCAACGGAAAACCATTCGACTTACTTTCCCACGAACAGTCACATACAGAAAATTGTGGAAAGCCGTGATTTACGTTGTAAATTACCATTTTTCATTTTCGTTTTTTAATATAAATTAAAATTTTTGGCATTATTTGAAAAAATCTGTCACGGAATTACAAATTTCAAGTAAAATGCAAGACAAAATTTTAAAATATGATTATTTCTGATTGCAATGCCTATTATACAACTAGTCCATTGGAAAAGAATACCAGTTTCACTTGCAGTGTCGTTCTGATCTTCTTTGTTAGAGATTTTATATAAATGCAAAGTTTCTGCCGTATACCATCCGGTCATCTTCAGGTACCTATTTTTTGTATTATTGTGTTCTTTCGTGAATCCATTTATTTGCTTGTTTATAGATTTAGCAGAAGCCTGTTCCTGGGATTGAACTCACTACCACCAGGTACCTCAAGCCAAAGTCAAAAAGTATTTTAATTTTGAATATTTCCTTATAGGAATATCGTAACATTTTTAAATGTAAATTTTGAGATCTTTGATATAACTTCATGCTTAAGTAGTGAAAGACGTTAAGTTAGAGTATGACCACGTCGGAGACGAGAGACTATGGTGCAGAGGAAACTGCATGGTGGAGAAGAGACAGTACGGTGAAAACGAGACTGTACGGTGGAAAGGGGACACTACGGTTGAGACGAGGCTGTACGGTGGAAAGAAGACTGTACGGTGGAGACGAGACTGTATGGCGGAATGAAGACTGTACGGTGGAAAGGATACTGTACGGTGGAGATGTGACTGTATGACGGAAAGGAGACTGTACGGTGGAGACGAGGCTGTACAGTGGAAAGGAGACTGTACGGTGGAGATGTGATTGTATGGCGGAAAGGAGACTGTACGGTGGAGAGAAGACTGTACGATGGAGACGAGGCTGTACGGTGGAAAGACGACTGTACGGTAGAGATGTGACAGTATGGCGGAAAGGAAACTGTACAGTGGAGAGGAGACACTACGGTGGAGACGAGACTGTAACATGGGAAGAACACTTTACGGCGGGAAGGTATGGTGGAAAGGCGACTGTACGATGGAGACGAGAAATGTAGTTTATCGGCATTGGATATTCGATGTATTCACAAATCGGATTCAAGGAATCTTCACAGGTCGCTGTAAAGGTTTTGCTACAAAGCTAAAAAGATTCCATAGGTAAGCTGGAAATAATTATTTAAATCACAAACCTTTCCAACTTCTTTTAGATATTTGCTCATTAAAATTTACCAAGGAAATCTTTGTGCAGATTTTAATTGCTGTTATCGACAGATAGACGATCTAGTAATTGAAGAAGTTTGCAAAAAAAAAAAAATCAAGTTGATTAAAAATGAGTTGCTATCGATCTGTCTCTTAATTTCGTTTTCTATTAAGAAAAATACAGAAATCAATCACACCTGTTTATTTCTATTTTAAAAAATCTTTCTGATTCATTAAAATTTCTTTCTATTTCTCTCCCTATCTTTGATTTCTTTTTTTTCGAAAATATTCTTTTCTTTTTCCTCCATCATCATCATCATCATCATCATCATCATCATCATCATCATCATCAATCAATCGGTCTCTCTCTCTCTGTCTCCCTCTTCTCTATTTCATTATCTCTTCGGTAACTTCTTTTTCTAACTTATTGTTTTTACTATATTTCATCATCAGATATGTCTCTGTCTCTACTTGCTCTCTCTCTCTCTCTCTCTCTCTCTCTCTCTCTCTCTCTCTCTCTCTATCTATCTATCTATCTATCTCTTTGTTTTTTATAACATAACTTTACATGTTGCTTTTCCTCATCATCATCGTCATCATCATCAATATCTATCTCTGTTTTTTCATCTCCTCACTACATGTGATTATTGATTCTCTTTCATCGCCCGCTCCCTCTCCTCTTTCTTCATCTCTCCCCATTGATGTTTCTCTTTCTTCTAACACCTACACTTCTCTCCTTATGGTGTCTGCATTTTCTCATCTATTCTATCACAGATCCCCCCCTTTCCTCCATCACTTCTCTCTTTCTCTTTTACCTTTCACTCTTTCATGTTTCACTTCTCTTAATATCATTTTTGTTATATATTTCAATGACAAGGATAAGTTCGATCCAGAGCTGTCGCGAATATTTTGTCATATACGGCCTACTGTAATATTTTGTCACTTTCTATTTGTCTGTCAACAAGCCTAAAAGCTACTTCCTACTTCAACGGCTATCGTAAGAAAATGAGACTCTCCTCGCAAAAAAGTTGATGACGAAATATTACGGTAGGCCGTATATGATAGCCCCACCCCTCGCCACTGAAATATATATATATATATATATATATATATATATATATATATATATATATATATATATATATATATATATATTGAAGCGTACCTACTTAACGCTTCAACGTGATCTTAAATCCAAACCTAAGGATTGCGTTGAAGCGGGGGTAAATCTCAGACATTGAGCACTCTTTTCCTATTAAATAGAATGATTAGATTTATGTAAACACTATATATAGCGATTTACTAAGGGAAGCTTAAATATAGTACAAGGTCGAAAGTATGAAAAAAACAGTTAGGATCTAACTAACTACTTAGTCGTAAATAATTTAGCGAGAAAAGTTTGCTAAGCATTACACCATGTCGAATTGACCCCCCACACCAAAAACAAAATAACAATTTTTGTGCGTATATATAGTCATGTCCGTATGTATAGCATTATTAGAAATTCTGTTTCATAGACTGATTCATTTGTGTTGGAAGCTCAGTCATCAATTAGTGTTCTTTTATTCTCCGATGTCTTTCCTCTTTTATTTCTTTTCCCGTTTTCTCTCTGCCAGATAATGATACCAGAACATTACTGGCATAAAAGGAGTTCATTCTACACACTTTTGAAAACCAGGCAACTCCTGTCGATAAAACAAAAACGCTCAGAATAATCATTGAACTATTTCTAAAAAGAAATGATTGGCGAAAATTCTGACAAAATAATTGTGTGCAACGTAGAAAATAGGATATTTTTTTTCTTTGGAGAATTGTTTACAGTGTAAAACAAAATATAATTGTAGAAATTGTATTGTAATATTTGTTTCGATAAACTACACTCATATTGAAAAAAAAAACTAAAATAAGACAATTATCTGGTATCAATAACATTTCTGGAAACATTTCCTTAATTTTATAAAATCTCGATTTGAAAACTAAACAAAATAACATTTCTATGAATATAATTTTGCAGAGAAATTTTATTCGAAACTTCAATGAGATGAAAAAAATCTGCCTTTAATTGGAAAATATAAGCTGTAATAAAAACAAAATAATATTTGGTTTGGAAAGATTTGTTTAAAGGATTTATGTGTGGGAAGTGTAGAGGTTAAAGAAGCCGAAAGTTGGTTGGAAATGTTGAGTTCTTTGCATTCATTTTCGCTAAAATACATTTGAGAAAAGTATAAATGCATTTATTCTCCACCCCCAGGCCCAACTTTTACTTTGGTTTTCAATCAATTTCGGAGAATAATAACTGAATTCAGAACTGGTTAGACGTTCGGTGGTAATTCCAGCCACTAAAATGTTTATTCAGAAGTTCATTTTACAATAATACACATTGCGTTGTCTTTCTAAAGAAGGAATAAAAATGTCATTGACGAGACATAATCATTTTTTTATTTACCTTGATTTTTTCTTATCATAACTTAGCACCACGGCATTTTTTCTTTAGCATTTACAAAATTTAAAAGATTTTAAAGTTTCAATTGCAAGCGAATAGTCTAAATGTATTACTTAGAGAAAAACATCATAACTTTATTATTTAAAGCAACACTAGACGATATTTGTCATGTTATGTCAGTCACAATTCAGTTAGGGATGACTGAGTAAAATTTGCTTACTTTTACGAGTGTCTCAGAGGTCAGTTTAAGTATGGATGAAGAAAACTGACAAGACCTATGCGTACGACATCGAATGTTAATGAGCGTAAATGGTAACCAAAGGGAATAATTTTATTATTTCTAAACTATGTGTAAAATGAACACAGGGGATCACAGTTTTAGGCTGGACGATAATAACGTCAAATTCATTGGACGTTATTTATCCCTTTGTGGGGAAAAGGGACTTAACTTATATGATAGATATTTTGCTGCTGCAGCAAATAGTTTTTTTTTTTTTTTACCAAGTGGAGTTTCCAGCCACAGACCAACCGGTTTTCAGTTCAGAATTACCATTCTCCCAGATTGGTGACCAACTAAGTATATAGAGGACAGACAGCCCTGCTATTTGACCAATAGCTGAGACTTTAACACCTTAAAATAACTATTATTGAATTTAACATTATCAAATTATCATTTATTCAGATCTCTGGAATATTTTTTAGTGAAAAAAAATCGTCGAAAAAGAAGAGAGGAATTAATTCGACGCGACTAGATATCTCTTCAGAAAAAAACGCCCCAAATCTTTTAACAAAAAATTAGTTTCATAGGGAAATTTTCTTATTTCTAATAATGATATGTATATTCATAAAAAACCAATTCAATATTTGCCATATTTGAACTGATTTTTATTCTGTCGTCAGAAAAGTGAAAACATTGTCAAATTGCCAATTATTTAAATAAATATTTAAAACTCAGAATATTATCGCGACGTTTCAGCCGAACATTTACAATCTGCATCTGCAGATTAAATAAGGGGTTCAATTCGAAAATCTCTGAATGTTAGTCGGATCTACGATCACCTGATGAAAGACCGAGAGTATAACGACCGAAACGTTTTTTCTAATAAGAACAATTTTTCAGAAATTTGAATGTAAATAATATAAATAAAAATTACTCTTCATCAGAAATTCAGAGAAAAATGTACAGAATAGATGTCTCCAAATTTTGAATTGTCACTCAAGACATCAAAAACGGGAAAAAGGATGCGAAAAATGTTCACTTCGATTTTCCCTGCCCCTTTTAACTACTTGCACTGTCTAAACTTTGTTCCATCTCATATATATATATATATATATATATATATATATATATATATATATATATATATATATATATATATATCATTTCGTAGATATTTTCTAGTATTTCTTTTATTGTCGTTTCTATTTGATGTTATACCCCATGGGTATAAATCAAAGGTCAGTGTAGCTCTTTTATCTCCTCATAATTCCTGTCTGTCTTAATTGTGATAAAGAATGTTATGAAAGAACCTTTTTGAAAAAGTAATATTTTGTATTAATGCATTTCCATTCTATGTTCTTTTCATGTTTAATTTGCTTTTGAAAGAATGGCGAAAATGAAATTAGAATTCATCACATTATTGGTTCGTTGAGTGCTTTGATAATATAATGTCAAATCGAATACGACATTGTCTATCGTCTGTTTTTCTTTTCCCTTTTAACCTTCTATGCTTTACTTTTTGCTTTACTTTTCTTGTTCTTCTTTTCTTTCTTGTCGCTCTTTCTTACCCCTTCTCCCTCTCTCTCCTTCACATTTTCTCTTTCTTCTTCCTACTCACTCTCTTTCTTCCTCTATATAACTTTTTTTCTCTCATTTTTCTCTTTTTTCATTCTTCGTCCACCAATCCATCTTTTCTTCCTTCCTCTTTTTCATCCTCTTTCTTCTCCTTTATGCTAATTTTACGTCACGCTCTTCCTTTTGCTGTTTACTCATTCTTTTCTCTCACACTCTTTCTTCCGTCTTTTTTGTGTTCATCCTTCTCTCTTAGTTCGTTATTCTTTTTCCTAACACTTTTCCCTCTCTTTTCTTTCACTCTTCCTTTCTTTACTTTCTCTCTCTCTCTCTCTTTTTTTCTCCTATCACTTTTTATTCCTTTGTCACACTCTTTTTGTTCTTTATTTTCATTCTTTTCCCTCCCCTTCATTTCTTTCTCACTTTTCTTTCACTTTTCCTCTTGGCTTCTCGTCTTTTGCCACCAAAAGACGGCGCACAAAATCTCTGAACAAAAATATTTTATGTTAATCGCTTTCGGAGAAAGTGAACATTCAACAATTAAAATGAATCCTTATCTTAAATCTTGGTTTTTCACATTGTAAAATCAGTGAATTCTTCAGCCGATCTTCAATGTACTGCCTCCACCGACATCACATAACCTTCTCATGTTAATGGACCTGCTATAAACATATTTGATGTTGAGAACACGTCTACAAAACAAAAACTTTCTTTTCCTGTCCAGACAGAGCAGTTTTCTGTTATTCTTATTGAATCATTAAGAAATTCCTTCTTGTATGTACGTTCTAATGTTTTCCTCTTCTTCTTCCGCAATCATCCTTCATCCCATCTCAAGCAAGCAGTCTTTTCATAATAAAAGCATCACGATCATTTCAAATAGGTCGCTTACAGTAGAGCGATAGTTAGCAAACTAGTCTCGCTGCCGAAGTCGGCCGTGAATGGATTTGATCCACTTTATCTTAGAAGACAAGGGAACGATGAGGTAAAAATCTTGATCAATCTGCTGTTGATCAATTTGCTAGAAGTATGACGTCGACACTCATTGAGTGCCAAATTTTTGTACGATTATAGTTTATGAGGTTCTGCCTTGTGGTTAAGATAGTTGAGATTTAGTGACGAGCGATAATGGCTTGGGGTTTAATCACGCATAAAAGTTAGGCTTTCCATTGCTAGTTTTGAAGGCAAGTAGGCTCTTGACAATTAAATACTTGGACCAACACATTCTTCTAACATTATATTTATTTTACTTTGTTTTGAGTTGTACTAAACTTAGTATAATATCTCGCAAATATCAATTAGACTTTTCAAAAAGTGTATATATATATATATATATATATATATATATATATATATATTGACTCAAAGATTTTTGTATCCATTTTAGATTTACCTTTTTTCCATAAAGTTCTTCATTTATGGTTCGTTATTTTTTTTTTCTCTTCCAAAATATTTCACATCTTTTGTTCTCCTTCCAATACAAAACGTAAAAGACATTCAGTGATAATAGGCTAGCTCGTTAACCATTACCCCGCTATGCGACGTTTTGGTATACTATAATCTCTTTAACCGTACAGAAAATCATAACACAAATACAGTGTCCGTATCAAATCATGCTAAAATATGTTTATTTGTCTTATCCAAGTGATCACGACACCTGAGACCGTATTAAATCTTCGTGGACACTGACACGTGTCAAATGATGACCAATGGCCTGACAGACAAATCAACATCCTCCGTCTTTCTCGGTCTTTTCTAAGCAGAGATTACTACAGCTAAATGACAAATTGGACTAAATAAGGAAGGGGGATTATATGACGCCAATCTTCAAAGCCTAAAAATCCTCTTGGAATCGATAAATCAGCCTTCATCATTTTGGTTGTCTCTTTAAGGAAATATTTCCCACATGAGTCAAGTCAGCTTAAATTTGGCACAAGGATGGAACGCTCAGGATCCAAGTAATAATCCTTACGGATTGTTAACAATCACGTTCTCTCTCTCTCTCTCTCTCTCTCTCTCTCTCTCTCTCTCTCTCTGTGCTATGTCCATTGAAGACTCTCCACAGCGTCCTGTCTTTTGTTACTTTTAACAATACTTGCTATTTACAACTCTTCTTTGATTTATGGCACTTGATGACGAGGAACGGTGGAGTAATGGATAGCAACTCTTATTGCGAAATCGGAGAGTTCGAATTCCAGTCAAGTTCATTACATTTACTTACGTGCTTATACCCTAGAGAAAGGTATGAATTCATCTCTTCCCACCCAAGTAGGACAGACTGGGTCCTATAGGATTTAGTGGCAACCTGTCTAGGAGAAGGTCAACACTGAATTCAAAAATGAGGCGAGTCATTTGCTTATATATATATATATATATATATATATAGTAAGTACATCTACATAAGTACATATAGATAGATAGATAGATAGATAGATAGATAGATAGATAGATAGATATAAACAATTCACTCTAAGCAAGTTTATAACACTGGGAGTAAAAGCGAATGAAAATATTTTAGAAGGAACCGGAAAAAAACAATCCTAACCAGGGAAGAAAGGGAAAACATATTTTCTCATTCAAAAGACAAAGAAGAAGTGTGAAACGAATGATGGCGAGCCTGTCTAATCTGATTCAGGAAAAAAATAAATAATTAATGAATAAAATTTCAGAGCGAAGGTGTTAGAAGTAAAAAACTGAATTAGACTATATAAATGTGGACCCTGAGGTTAAAACCGAGCGGCGATGGTCTGTTCCATGCTTGATCGAATATCTTTTGGCCTGAAGATTGCGTTCAAGTACGAAACAGACTGTCCACTTTTATATTTGTTTCTGTCCACTTTTCTACATGTTACTGTACACTCTTCTATTTAAACACGCTCAATCATTGATATGCCATTGAGAACATTTAGTCATAATATAGCATACATTAAAATCATATTTTTATCATATATATATATATATATATATATATATATATATATGTATGTATGTATGTATGTAGCTCACTATCCATTCCATGAAATGGTGAAAGTTCCTTTTCTAGACGAAATGACGCGTGTGCGTGTACTTTGGATGAGTAAGGAGCGAGTCAAGTCTAGAATTACCCTTTCGACACTACTTTCTTGGTCCATCTGTGATCTACAATCCTTTTAGGGGATCAGTATTAAGTTTCGATCTAAGAAATGTCTTTCTCATGTTTCCCAACACGTGTAATGCACCTGTTAGAAAGAAAATTTTCTCTGCATCAAATCCCCGAAAACTGACTTGAATAATTGATCTCGAAAGCAAGAAGGAAATGCAATTATATATCGTGTGTCAATTTCTCTTTATCTGTCATCTTACTAGCTTCCTCCGTTTTATTATCTATCTGGTGCCTGATATAGTACGATGGTAAGCAACTTAATTTCGTTGACCATTCGATATTGTAATGAGTTTGATCCTCACTGAGTGCTTCTCTTTGCTAATGAGGTCTGGTATGTCTGATTAAATTCAACATACTCAAATCTATTTCAATCACCGTTCGATAAATCATCTTGCCTAATTATGTATGTGTTGTGGTGTCCTCCCTCTAAAGAGTCTATGTTGGACTCTTCCGCCTACTATAAGATTAGTAGGAGAAAAGGCCTTGAGGGAACAGTCGAATAGATTGAACGCTGGGTCAACCGACAGACACTCACTAGTCGTGTAATACTCTTCTGTTGTACTTACTGTTTAATATATGATATATCTGAAATAGATGTTTTGTTATTTCTTTAACCATTTACTTGGTCACAACAGTATGTAGGAGTCTAGTTTTAATCTGATTGCCACAAAGAATACATAGGAGAAACCTCGAGGAATCCTAATAAAAGATTATAAGAATACGAAATAGATCTTTTAAGCAACAGCACGCACTATTAGTCGCTCACTGTAAAGTATGACCATTTCTATTTTTAAAAAATGATACTTTAATTAAATCAGAGAACAATTAACGAAAATATAGAGAAAGTGCTTTGATTGCGAGATCATCCACGGTAAATGTGAGTCCAGGTTCATACAACATTTCACATTTCTTGACAAATTCTCTATGTGTGATGATTAATAACAAAAGTGATAAAAACAAATAGAAAATCACAGAGAAACTGAATGACTACGTCTGAGAAAAAGAAAAGAAAATTTTAAAATTTTAAATTTCAGCGTTCCCACATTTTCGGCGTTTCCTCTCGGTAGATAATTATAACAGACGTTTATATTTTATACCCCCCCACCCCGTTTCATCAATATGAAGCATTATGACAAAGTCCTTCTAGATGACGAAACGCACAATAAATTTATTTTTCACTCTGTTATTGATTAGCCCAACATAATAATAAATAAACCCTTAATTTACAAGGTAACCTTTGCAAGTCTTGCCTTGAATGAGGATTGAACTTACTTGCAAAGCTTTTGCAACGAAAATTATTTCGATATATATCCAGCTTATTTCGAATTATAAATCAGACATCTCTTACCCCCATCTTTTGATTTATTTCAACTTCTGTTTATTGTCTAATTAGCTACAGGTTAATTATAACAAATTTAGTATATAAAGTAGTAAAACATAAGACAAAGCTACGCTAGGGATAGTTTTGTTCAACACCTCAAGATGCTACAGAACCAAAACATGAACTGAAGAACTGGTGTCATTAACTTAAATGTCCTCGTTAGATTGAGAATTTCCTCTCGATGTTGTAAATGGTAGCCAGCCCGTTCCTGAAATATCTAAACTGTAAACTATATATAACCGCTTTCTCAGATAAATGATTAAAAATGGCTTCAAACAAATAAACGCTCTATGTTGGTTGGTTGTTTTCTTTTATGGCATATCAACATCAGTGGGTCATTTAATGCCAACAAAATTTTTGAAATAGATACATAGCGATAATAGCGATAATTTGGTAAAAAAGGTGTATATGTATACATATAAATTTGAACCATTTTTCAATTACTCATATCTTTGAGTACAATCACATGTATTGCTTGTAATTTTTTTTTTCAAAAATTATTTTTTGGTAATAATCTTTTCAAAGTATTTCTGATATTAAAACCTATTTTTACACTTTTATAATAATTTTTACCTCAGTTTCGGGGTTAACTATTTGCCCATAGCTGGGACCCTAACAGGTGCTACCACCCCGGGTCAGGATGGACCTAGGAATACCAGCAATTAAGAGGTGGCTCTACGCTTCTCAAAACTTCCTGGTCAGAGGCCTTGTTGTTGGATGTAGTTATCGTCTTACCCAGGACGTGGATGTTGTTTATTGTCATACCCAGGACGCCCTATAGGGTGAGGGGTGTCTTACCCCTCTTCAGAGGTGCACTCGGCGTATTCTACAGCCCCAGCCGACAGGGCGAAAACGCTGTATGTTTTGAAGAGGATCATATTTATCCGACCTTTCTGAACTGGTGGTGCACCAAATTGCAAAAACAGCAGCAACGATTAACATGAATAGCATGTGTAACTTGAAGAGAAAATAAAGGCATAATGAAGAAGTTGACATTGCCAACTACTTCTAGCAAAAGGTTAGGAAGGAAACCGCCATCAATACTGAAAAGAGCGATAACAATTAGTGGACTTGAGTTTTGTGATGCCAACGAATACTTGTTGTCACTTTCGTAATGCTTGTTGTAGTAGAGTCTTTGTAATCGCAGATACAACTATAGTAACGCCGTTGAACAATACTGGTGTCAGACGCCTTCGAATATTAATCGCACTAATAGTACTTGCTCGATAATACTCGCTCAAATAGCAACCATCGAATAGTGATCCGAATAGAGAAATAGTATAGGGAATAGAGTAGAGAATAGCGGTCCTTATAGTAATAGAGGATAGAATTGAAATAACAATCAATTTGATGTCACGCGACTTCCTACATATATTCGTTTCCTCTATGGTCACGTGGCCTACTAATTCAATAATGGGATCGCCTGTGTTTGCTCACTGGCGATCTAGGTTCAAACTCAAGTGTCGGCAGCGATACTTTCTTCCCATATAACATCGAGAAACTTATTTTCCTGAAAAAGTTTTATAAATTTTAACCGTGAGTAACACTGTCTGCTCGGGCAATAAATGACGAATGTTTCCTTATAAGGAAGCGGGCTTATCTTACCATTTATATTAACATCTATCTCTAAACATTCATTCTATACAATATTTCTACACTTACACACAAGATTTGCATTGTATATAATGTTTCTACACTTACACACAAGATTTGCATTGTATATAATGTTTCTGCACTTACACACAAGATTTGAAAATTTCTATCGATTCTTACTGCGCCAGAATTTATTAATATCGAGAGATTTCGCCCCTTATGCTCTTTATTTATGATTTTAGTTTCATACTAAAATTTCTCTCGGGAGTCAGCATCCGGCGCCATCGTAAAAACAAAAGATTAGACGTTTTTCCTAAAGAGGTATCAACCCTCGAGACTAAAAGCGCAAACAAATAATATTCATTTCGCATAACAAAAACCTGCAACATTTAAAAAGTTGATTTCAACCGATTTCATAATTCCAGATTCTGACACAAGGAGAAAAGTTAGTTTTATGCCTGTACACTATAAGCGTAATTATTTAATACTGATTAATATGTAATTCTATTATCTAGACTAATGGGGAAATCCTAAGTTAATGAATTCTATTAATTTGGTGGGCCAGAAAACATGTTACTGCATTTTCATTAATACTGTATGGTCAATGATAGAGCATCTTAAACAGAGATGCCAAAAAGGGGCCATACAAGAATACTAGATCATCAGCAAAAATTTCACCTCTCAGCTCTTTCCTTAAATTAAAAAGGAGTGTTTTTTTTTTCTTTTTTGTATAAAGTGACCTTTATTATTACAGAAAGTACAAAACGTCAAAGTATAGAGTTAGTACTTAGTGTTGCTACCTTTGGCTTGATTCGATGTTGTATGGAATGGAACAAGTTTCAGATTTTCTCTTTGGATATTGTTTCTCCATTTTTCTTAGAAGTAATCCCAAACCTCTTGAACATTGCTTGGTTTTTGTTGGAGCATTTGTTTCTTCAGTTCCCACCAAAATGGTTCATTTACATTAAGATCA